CTTCCCTTCCCTTCCCTTCCCTTCCCTTCCCTTCCCTTCCCCTCATCCATCTGCTGAGGGGCTCTGCAGACTCCCCATACCCCGTTTTTGGGGTGTCCTCCCAGCCCAGCAGCTCCATCCTCCGTGTCAGTACTCCTTCCCCTTGGATTTGAGCCCTTCTGTGCTGGGAGCTGCTGGCACAGGTGACACTTGTACTGTCCCCTTGGGCCCTGGSCTCTCCCTTGTGCTTTTTGTCCTGGGCAGGGGTCTGGGACTCTGCAGTGCCCTGTCTTGCTGCCCATGCTGGTAGTAAATCCATGGGGAGTGTGGGGGACCATTTTTAGCCCCTCTCCATCTCCCTGTTCATCAGGATGCCACTTTTTGTTCCCCTTCTGTGGGGCAAAGGAAGACAAAAGTCTCGACTCCCATTAGGACTCTCTGTAAAAGAGAATCACCTACTGGTCACCTGCTCTTTGCAGCTCCAGATTAMTTTCCAAAAGATGGCCCCAACCAGCTGTTTTGCTCCTAGAAAAACAAGATGCCAAGGTTACCGTAAAACCAGCAGGAATGGGAACTCCAGACACACATCCCTGCCCAGCACCAGGGCTCAGTTTCCCTTGCCCGGSAAAGGCTCTGCTGACAGTCAGACACTTYTGTTCTTCYCCCCAGGTGACTCTGGGGAAGCTCKGACTGTGCCCTGGKGGTCAGTGTTRTTGTGTCCATGACACTGTGCTCAGTGTGGTGTGTGTCACAGGAGCCCCAAGGGGGTCCATGGTCCAGCAGCAGCAAGAAATCCTCCCTGGTGAACCCCCAGAGAATGCTACACTTTTTCCTGTACCATGTGCCATCATTGCCCTCCCCAAACCTGCCCTCAGTGGTGGTCAGGGTCACAGCATAACCACCCCTGCAGAGGTCAGGTCCCCTTGCACAGTGGGGCTTCCCAATGCCACAAGCATCTGTGCCAAATCCCCCAGGAAGGCTGTGGCATCCATCCCCTCYGGACCTGTCCTTGGGCTGTGGGAAGCAAATGTCCCTGTCCCTTCACAGCCTGGTTGATGCCAGCAGCAGCTCATCCTAGTGGTGGCCACTTTACACTGGTGGTCACTTCTSTCTGGTGGTCACCACTTCTCGCCGGTGGCCACCACTCATCCCTGGTGGTCTAGTGGTCAGGATTCGGCACTCTCACTGCCGCGGCCTGGGTTCGATTCCCAGCCAGGGAAGGGGCTCCTGCAGCCACTGCAGGTCCCAATCTTTTCCTGGGTGGCTGTGCTGGGGTTCAGTTCCAGGTTCTCCAAGTGTGTGGGGAKGGGCCAGGGTGGGATGAATTTTGCRGGRTGGCAGCAGCCTCCTGTCCCTGCATTGCCATCAGGCAGAACGTGCCCGTGGGGTTGTAGGGAGCAGGGTATGACAGGGATGAAGGCTGCTCACATGGGAATGCTCCCACACCTCCTCTGGGGAGGGGTTTTACACTGCCTGATACAACACGGGGGTCTGTGATGGTTTATGTCCCYTTCTAATGCCATGACCATGGTTTGGCCCCATTTCTCCTGAATGCTTTGTTGTGCCAGCATTGGGCATCATGGGAAAGGAAGGAATTGGCACGATAAAAAAAAATATTACTGTGCCTCTGCAGGATATCTGCTTCTTATCAGCCTTTGTCTTTATCTCTTTAAAACATTTGAGACATTAGTTCTTTGGCTATCTGAGCC